CACCATCACCACCACCACCACCATCATCATGCATCATCATCATCATCATCCTTATCATCCTTATCATCTTTGTCACCATCATCATCATCATCATCATCAACATCTGCATCGTCTTAGTAAGAACCGTCATCATTGAAATGAATTGTTCCTTAGAAAAAACGCATTTTCAGATCAGGCTCGTAAAGGCGTGACTTCGCTGTCCCACAGTCATCTCGGGTTGCAGATGATTGCATCAAGTATGATGCAGCCTTTGAGGAACGTTTGGGTTTGCCTGAAAATAGGTTTCCCCATTCTATCCACTGGTTCATCATCAGTTTCTCTATTAAAAGTAGTCGTTTGAATTCTTTTAATGCGTTTTCGGTGAAGAGTTCTGATTCCACCATTTTTAGACATGCCCACATGTCATATTGTTGGCTATGCATCCAGTTGCATCCATACTACATTTCCACCATAACCTGTTTAAAGTCAGACCCCACCCAAGCCACAGGCACATCTCGAAGAATAACATGGAAGTACCGACAACACATGGGAAAACAGTGGGGTCATAACGGGATATATGACACTCAATGATGAACAACCATGTAATGCTAAAAGATGTTATATATATATATGATTTATATATGTATAATTACATATCCTTCAAATTTAATTTTTCGAGCAAAATGTGGGCACGTTGTTCCCCAGAAGAACGTGGTAGAACCTCAATGCCTTGCTGCAATGCTGTCCTTGATTTTTTTTTGTGTTGATACAATAATCATCCACGATTTTTGTTGCAATGCCGCACTAATGGGAGGAAATTTGCAATCTTTTTTTCTGCAAAACTATTGTTTCACTGTTCTTTTTGTATCTTTTTGGTGTGAATCACTCCAAACTTAAAGAATTCTATCCTTCCAGGTTGGTTTTTAGATTAGAGTATATATGAGAGGTCCTAAGATCACCATGGAAACCATGACCCATTTAGTTCGGTGATTTTATTTGGTGTTACTATACTGCACGGTCTGGAGGGTATGCCTTGGAGGCCAACAAGTCGTCAAGAAGATGTTGTCGACAGGCGCCAGTTCTCTCATCGGTGCGGTTGAAAATGTTTGGAAACCAACTGAATTCCATGTGGTTTTCCCCTGAAAATCGCAATTTTGGGTGCGCATGTTCGGACTTTGAGGAGACTTAGTTCGGAATTGTTTGGTTGATTTCTGGTACAGGATCCCAGCTCATTTTTTTGGGGGACAGCATTGTTGAATATTTTTATATAGAGGGAATGACAGTCCTGGGAATTTTGGCGCAAAAATGGTATAGGTTTGGTGGAACTTTCCTGGCCATGAAATGCTGGACATGTCGCTGAACCTGTGATGAGCAATGTCCCCCCCAACAATGATGTTTTCACCTCTAGAAACCAGCACGTAGTCAGGTAAAGTTGTTCATGTAGAAATGCACTCATGGAAAGTTTTTCAGGTTCAAAATTGAGAGTATTTGAGATTTGTTAGTTTTAGATGTTCAAACATATTCACAGTAAAAGATAACAAGAATACTCAGAAAAGTGTTGCAATGGGTTCGATGGGGTGTATTGGTTGCAGGTTAAAATGATAGCGGCCTGAAACGACGTCACCGCAGAAGATCGTTGATTTCACGAAACCGTCAAAATTACTTGAGATCAGTTTTGGGACTTTTAAAATCAGATTCAATCAAGTGTATCACTTCAAAATCACTCCAATATCACTGGAAGGGAGATGACATTTAAGACATTTTCAGATTTGGTGGCTTCATCCGTGCTTTTTTTGTCATCAAACACGGAGGTTTCAGGACCTGGTGGATTTTCCCGCCATGAATTTTCCCAGTGATCCATAAGTTTATTGTGAATTTTATTGAGGCGTATGAATGGTGCTCAAAACATGAACAAGGTAATGATGATGATTTATATTCCATCTATCATATATATATACATATTAATATGGAAAGTCATTGGGGATTATTGTTATCCTATCCTATTGCTCTACTGTGTAGATCCAGGCGACCCCCGACGCCCCGACCGCGAACGCCGCGAACGCCGCGAACCCCGAGTCGCCGTCCGGTAGGGCTTCCCAAAAGAGGACACAACTGGTAGGGTGATAAAGAAAGCTCTAGTGATTGATGATTGATGATGAACAAATATGGAGTTTGATACTGTCATAGATGAGTCATGCATATAAATTAGAGGGATTGAATCTGAATCCATTGAATGCTATGGCTATTGACTATTGATGATATATGGATTTATTTTCATTGATATAGGGTTATAGTGTTACTATTATATGATAATCATATGTACTGGGGATTCTCACAATGCATGAATTGGCAAATTCAGCCTGATGTCATTGGCTGAAGCCTGCAGTGACTTGCTGTGCAAAAAGTGACATCAATTGTGTACTTGGGGGGTGCATCCAAGTTACCCTCTTGTAAACTAAAAGTTTGCATAAGTTTGCTATGGAAAATCACTAATTTTAATACTGGGGTAAACATATGGTCGTTACTCGTTTACGATGACTAGGTCCTGCACATTCAAGTAGTCAAATGAATTCATCGCGTGTTTGATGAGGTCAATAGCCAAAACTTTTGACTGAACATTCTAAAAAATACCATCCAAGTAGAAATGGATCAGGGAAAAATTACAAAACCATACAAATCCCTCGCATACCCATACAATTCATGCATTTTCACGCACTGATATTTTGTTTCTGGCCGGAATGGCTCTCTTCTTCTTGCCAATTTGTGGGTGACTTTGGAGTTTTTTTTCGTCCCCAGTGGGAAACACATCATATCACATCATAAACAATTATAAACATGATAGACAAAAATGATGGGAAAAAAATAACCTGTGACTCGATCTGACCATGTCATGGATCACAAATGTTGTGGTTTCCGTGTCCGAGGCCACTCCAAGGCAAGAAACTCAAGAGGCGCAGCTATCCCGGCCCCAAGTGAGGTGCTTCAAGGATCATCAAACGAATCGTAACTGGTGAACGTAAGTGGGATTAGTTCGCCCATTTATAAATGTCTTTGGTGTTTCGGATTGGCAGGTTCAGGTGCACCATGCAACACTGCACTTCAGAATGCAATGCTTGTTCTTTTCTGGGTCTCTTGGCTCCAATCCATTTCTCAGTATTACTGATGCTTCGACTGATGCTCCGACACCTTCAGGTTTTCGCCTGGGGTTGCCCGTGACGACCAAATCCCTGTCTCTTCCATCGATGTCCCACAAGCAGTCGTCGACAAATGGGTGCCGCGCCGGACCTACATCAACCTGCTTGAGTTGCTGGCAGTACCCTTGTTAGCTTTTTCCGCTCTGGACATCTTGCGGGGTCGCGATATCCTTTGGTTCCTTGACAACCAGGCTGCTTGGCGCGCCATCATTCGTTCTGCATCATCTCCGAGCCGTCAAGGATGGATGGATCCCACGGTTGTGGCCATACAATCTGGGACCTGGACGCCACTGACACTTCGGCCCTGTGGCATGAATTGACCCCTGATTTGAAGGCCATTTCTTCATCGCAGCGTTGGGATTTTGCTCCTCCAGGGTCAGTTCGTCCCATTGCCAGTTCCAATGCTGAAATCTTCACATATCACACTTGGTGCAATGGAGAAAAATGTCTCTTTGTATATCTATATATATATATCTATATCCATCTGCATCTCCATGTCTGCAAGTCACAGTGTTGGATATAACTGGGATATAACTGGGATAAGCCACGAAGCGAAGACTTTCTAACCAGGGTTCTTAACCACTTAATTTACGTGGGATGATCCTCTAAGGTTTTGTATCGGCTTTCACTACCCTGGGGACCCTGGGCAGTACTCGTAACATAGATATGGAAAACCCATAGTTTCTGCAGGAACCCATCGAAAAATGGTGGATCAAAGTGGATTTTTCCATGTTTCTATGTTGATTAAGTATGTTTCTTCCGAGTTTCAGCAACTGCCCGCTGCTAATTTAACACTTTGGAAATTGCAAAATCCCCATGAAAACAATAGGTACATCATTCCACAGCAAACTGTGAAATTGCGGGTCCCCTCCAGTGGAAAAGCCACCAATGATTTTTTTTCATCTTCCGTAGCCGGGTAGCTTTTTGAAAAATTCGGAATAATCTCAAACGTCAATGGTTACATAACTATTGTAGATAATCTTCCATTACCAACTCAAACTGGTGAGATCACTCCGGGTTTTCTGATCTTTCGAATCTCGCAGGGTTTTTTCAAGGCGCCCCGGAGACCGCGCTCAGCCGCTGGGTTCCTAATGGAAGCTCCTGCTGAAAGGCTGGAGGTGCGATACCAGTCCTGCGCCAAGATGAGATGGGTCTATGATGGTACCCTTCGGTTATTTAACGCTTCGCGAACTGGAGAATCACCATTTTCTATCATTTTCTAGTTGTTTTTTTAATAGGTAAATCATCACTTTTTCTCATTGTTTTAATGGTTTTCGTAAGTAATTCATCATTTTTATCCTCTGTACATGGGCTATTTTCCATAGCTATGTTAAACAACCAGAAGGCAATGGTTATATAACTATACGGGTATATCTATGATCATTATTGATATAGCTAAAATCAGTAAGTTGGCTTGTTACCATACGTTGTTTTTTTTTACTATCGTCATGAACACTTAATAAGGGCTAATTGTGTGTTAATACCCCCCAGAAGTTGAGGTATACCCCCCACAACCAGGATTATATATACTTATATAATTATATATATATATACATTACACAGTATGTATCTCATTATATCCCCGCTTATAGCTGGAACTGCACCCCAAAGCAGCGTTCCAGTAAACAAACTTTTGTTGCTCCCCTTTTTGAGGGGAATTTTCATAAGAAAGAATGGTACTCAATAAACGCTTGTCAAAGAATTACAGTAGTTCCACTAATTTGATGTGGGCTTGTCTGATATTTTGGGCACCAAATCCACTGGTTTGGCATTTTGGCAATTTTCTAATTAACATCTAGCCATGTTTTTGGGGATACAAACCATTTTCGGACACGCCCATTTTATTTTGGCTCACCCTTTAAGTTTTCATGATATCCATGAGCCCTCACATATGTAGATATTTCATCATATACAATCGTATACATATGCAGTACATATATATGCTTATATATATATATATACACTATTTATACACACTGTATCCATTATAACAACCTCATGTCGCAACCTCACTGGAATAATGGGAATGGTTTCGGGAAATAGATGAACTTGGCAGGTTAGGCAATTACTACAATTTCTGCATGTATACATATACAGTCATCCTGGAGTAGATAGAACAGTTTTTTTTTGCAATACTGTTCCCGTTGTAGTGTTTTTTCCCCTGAAATTTCGATAATCTATGTGCTTTAGGATAGTTATTCATTGTCTGATTTTTTCTTCTATTATATACGAATTGATATATATATATATAATTATATATATATTTCATACTATATAAATATAATATATATATATATATATACATGATATATCACATATATATATGCTATATATATATATGACACATATATATATATGTATTTACATATGATATATATATATATATATCTTATATTCATATTATGTATATATATATACATACACATATGATACATATGATATACATATGGCACATATCATACATATATAATATCTTTTTGCTATATACCACACACACACACACATCTCCCCCAGGTGCACTCCGGGGACCAGTCTCCAACGGACAGGCCGCCTGACAGGCCGGGATTTCTCGCGAAAACCTAGTATGTGTTAATCTGATTTAATGTGATTTAGTATGATATTTTAATATGTTTTATTGTGTTTTAGTTTGTTTTGATATGATTTAATATGATTTAGTATGATGTTTTAATATGATTTGATATGATTTGGTATTTGTTTTAATATGATTTATTGTGATTTAGTAGTATGTTTTAATATGATTTAATGTGATTTAGTACGATGTTTTAATATGATTTAATCACCGAAGGACATGGTGAGATATAACTTATCAGATACCAGCTGGGGTTTTATTTCACAGACGTGGGTAAAGTCATTTGGGTGACAGTATCCGCTTGCAGCCGGAAGAGTCGAATGGATAGGTAGAATTGCCCTTCCACATTTTGGATGTTTTCATTTCTGTCAGGTACAGGTCATCAAGTCATCTGTCATCAAAAATGTTGCCACTCGAGTCGCTTTCTTTTGGACAACAAAATGCAGTGTTAGTAACTTGTTTCCGTCCATACGACTGTCTGGATGGTGGTGGTTTGTCTTCTCCCAAGTGGAGATTGGTGGCGAAACGCGAAACCGCCACGCTGTGCCACAGGATTAACGTTCAGGATGAAGCATGGTATCAGCAGGCTGGATTCCGACCAGAGTTGACTGATAGTCTCTGCTAGTGGGAGAGTGATGTGAAGGAATTGTCAAGAGTTTGCTTGGTTGTTGTTGGTGATGAATGGTGATGAATGGTGATGAAAAGTGATGACTAGTGATGAATAGACTCCTTATTCTATCCAGTGGTTAGGAAGGAACTCAGGGGCTATGGGTATCCACATTCCTTATTAAATGAGGAGGAATGGAGCTCATTTAGAGCTTCTCAACCAAATGATAGTATTGAATCTGATTGACAAAGCATTGACATCTTCTGGGAACACAATTTCGTCTATTAGTTTTCGTACACCATGGGGTTTGCCACTGTAAATTGTTTAAACCATGGGAAATGCATCCCGTGTACTCATTTTCTTAGGTGTTCTTTACAACATTGAGTATAACAAAACATGAAATAATACTATGATATAAAACATGTAATAAACATGTAGCGGCCAGTTTTGTTCATGCCTTGCTGTAGCGCCCGTTCGAAGAAATGGTGCCCACAGACGAGGATTTTATCCAACAGTGCGAACGTATGGATCACAAAACATATGGGCACACCATTGGCCAAGATTTTGCCCGACCGGGCTTCGATTCTAGCCAATGGCAGAATTTGCTCAGCTTGCCGCACCGGAAAGGATCAGTGTGCATGTGCAAAAACAAAAATAAATAAATATATATACTCCGAGGGTACATGCCCGAGGCGCTTGCTTTACCACTTATTTGAGGCTCCGGTTTTGGGGCCTTGGGCCCACCTAGGCTTTGAGAAGAAGCGCCCCCAAAGCCTTAATAAAAGGCCTACTAAGGCATGAGGTACAAATCGCAATGGCTTGGACGTGAAACTACTAAGCATACCGCGAAAAACTAGTAAAGCACCAGTTGCGAATCACAATGGCTTGGACGCAAAACTATTAAGGAGCTCATGAAAAACTACGAAGGCGTGAGTTGCAAATCACCATGGCTTGGACGCAAAACTACTAAGGAGTTCATGAAAAACTACTAAGGCGTGAGTTGCAAATCACAATGGCTTGGACGCAAAACTACTAAGAATGTCTCTCAAAATTCAAGAAAAGAAGAAGATACTGTTTCTTTTATTCTTTGAAGCATGTTCTTAGTAGTTTTGCGGCCGAGCCAATGCGAATTGCGAAATCGTCCTTAGTAGCTTTTGAACGCATTCTTAGTAGCTTTGCGGCCAAGCCAATACGAAATGCGACACCGTGCTTAGTAGCTTTTGAGCACATGCTTAGTAGTTTTGCGGCCAAGCCAATACGAATTGCTAATTTAACGCTGCTTCCGCGTGATGTATGTAGATATGCACGCGCAAACATGGCCCCGCTCCCCAGGAATCAACGTTGCCACTCGCAAAAGCTAGTCTTGCTGCCTTTCCTGGTGTAGCTTTGCGGAGTGCGGAAGTAAGTCAACTTTGATATCTGGGGGTGCCGGGGGTTGCGCCTAGGGTCCTGTATACTGCCGCTGGCGGTACGCATGTCTTGGCATTGTTTGTGGCAGTCATGTTTGCTGCAGAACAGCACTGGCATCCCTGCACCTTTTGAAACGTTCCTTTGGCTTGCGCTGCGACGCGGACCCATTTTTGGGGCTGTGGGCCTGCATGCTTTTTGCCTTCCTTCACTGCGTACCCTGCATGTGAAACCAGCATCCTGGCAGCAAGCGCAAGAAAACATGAATGGAAGATGCAACCTGTCGCAGCTCAATGCACTCTTTGCAGAAGGCAAAACGCATACACCATGGGCCCAAAATTGGGACCACACATTTGGAAGCTCGGCTGCTAATTTTAGTATTGTGGCCCCATTTTTGGGTCCAGAATCTGGCCCCTGTTTTAGGGCCACAAAACACAAACAGGAGCTAGTCAATGCGGGCAGCAAGTGTGCTACTGCCGAGGCAAGCTGACAGCAGCACATATCCGTGATACTCCGAGGGTACATGCCCGACATATCCGTTACACTTTTTGGCGCTCCTTTACACTTATTTGACCTCCGGTGAGAAGGGGCCTTGGCTCCGCCCCCACCTAGGCTTTGAGAAGAAGCGCCCCCAAAGCCTTAATAAAAGGCCTACTAAGGCATGAGGTACAAATCGCAATGGCTTGGACGTGAAACTACTAAGCATATCGCGAAAAACTAGTAAATCACCAGTTGCGAATCACAATGGCTTGGACGCAAAACTACTAAGGAGTTCATGAAAAACTACTAAGGCGTGAGTTGCAAATCACAATGGCTTGGACGCAAAACTACTAAGGAGTTCATGAAAAACTACTAAGGCGTGAGTTGCAAATCACAATGGCTTGGACGCAAAACTACTAAGAATGTCTCTCAAAATTCAAGAAAGGAAGAAGATACTGATTCTTTTATTCTTTGAAGCATTTTCTTAGTAGTTTTGCGGCCGAGCCAATACGAATTGCAAAATCGTCCTTAGTAGCTTTTGAACGCATTCTTAGTAGCTTTGCGGCCAAGCCAATACGAAATGCAACACCGTGCTTAGTGGCTTTTGAGCACATGCTTAGTAGTTTTGCGGCCAAGCCAATACGAATTGCTAATTTAACGCTGCTTCCGCGTGATGTATGTGGATATGCACGCGCAAACATGGCCCCGCTCCCCAGGAATCAACGTTGCCACTTAAATGCTAGTCTTGCTGCCTTTCCTGGTGTAGCTTTGCAGAGTGCGGAAGTAAGTCAACTTTGATATCTGGGGGTGCCGGGGGTTGTGCCCAGGGTCCTGTACACTGCCGCTGGCGGTACGCATGTCTTGGCATGGCTTGTGGCAGTCATGTTTGCTGCAGAACAGCACGGGCATCCCTGCACCTTTTGAAACGTTCCTTTGGCTTGCGCTGCGACGCGGGCCCATTTTTGGGGCTGTGGGCCTGCATGCTTTTTGCCTTCCTTCACTCCGTACCCTGCATGTGAAACCAGCATCCTGGCACCAAGCGCAAGAAAACATGAATGGAAGATGCAACCTGTCGCAGCTCAACGCACTCTTTGCAGAAGGCAAAACGCATACACCATGGGCCCAAAATTGGGACCACACATTTGGAAGCTGGGCTGCTAATTTTAATATTGTGGCCCCATTTTTGGGTCCAGAATCTGGCCCCTGTTTTGGGGCCACAAAACACAAACAGGAGCTAGTCAATACGGGCAGCAAGTGTGCTACTGCCGACACAAGCTGACAGCGGCACATATCCATGATACTCCGAGGGTACATGCCCGAGGCGCTTGCTTTACCACTTATTTGAGGCTCCGGTTTTGGGGCCTTGGGCCCACCTAGGCTTTGAGAAGAAGCGCCCCCAAAGCCTTAATAAAAGGCCTACTAAGGCATGAGGTACAAATCGCAATGGCTTGGACGTGAAACTACTAAGCATACCGCGAAAAACTAGTAAAGCACCAGTTGCGAATCACAATGGCTTGGACGCAAAACTATTAAGGAGCTCATGAAAAACTACGAAGGCGTGAGTTGCAAATCACCATGGCTTGGACGCAAAACTACTAAGGAGTTCATGAAAAACTACTAAGGCGTGAGTTGCAAATCACAATGGCTTGGACGCAAAACTACTAAGAATGTCTCTCAAAATTCAAGAAAGGAAGAAGATACTGATTCTTTTATTCTTTGAAGCATTTTCTTAGTAGTTTTGCGGCCGAGCCAATACGAATTGCAAAATCGTCCTTAGTAGCTTTTGAACGCATTCTTAGTAGCTTTGCGGCCAAGCCAATACGAAATGCAACACCGTGCTTAGTAGCTTTTGAGCACATGCTTAGTAGTTTTGCGGCCAAGCCAATACGAATTGCTAATTTAACGCTGCTTCCGCGTGATGTATGTGGATATGCACGCGCAAACATGGCCCCGCTCCCCAGGAATCAACGTTGCCACTTAAATGCTAGTCTTGCTGCCTTTCCTGGTGTAGCTTTGCAGAGTGCGGAAGTAAGTCAACTTTGATATCTGGGGGTGCCGGGGGTTGTGCCCAGGGTCCTGTACACTGCCGCTGGCGGTACGCATGTCTTGGCATGGCTTGTGGCAGTCATGTTTGCTGCAGAACAGCACGGGCATCCCTGCACCTTTTGAAACGTTCCTTTGGCTTGCGCTGCGACGCGGGCCCATTTTTGGGGCTGTGGGCCTGCATGCTTTTTGCCTTCCTTCACTCCGTACCCTGCATGTGAAACCAGCATCCTGGCACCAAGCGCAAGAAAACATGAATGGAAGATGCAACCTGTCGCAGCTCAACGCACTCTTTGCAGAAGGCAAAACGCATACACCATGGGCCCAAAATTGGGACCACACATTTGGAAGCTGGGCTGCTAATTTTAATATTGTGGCCCCATTTTTGGGTCCAGAATCTGGCCCCTGTTTTGGGGCCACAAAACACAAACAGGAGCTAGTCAATACGGGCAGCAAGTGTGCTACTGCCGACACAAGCTGACAGCGGCACATATCCATGATACTGTATATATATATCTGTCCTCTCTCAAGGGAACCTATAACGACCTCACTGCGACCTTGGAATCATGGCAGTAAGTGGAATCATCCCCAAATAGCGTTATTTCAAGTCAGTGAAATATTTCAATTTATCCATATATCTATACACATGTGGATGGAGGTTTCCTAAATGGGGTACCCCCGAATCATCTAATTATCCCTTTAAAACCATCCAGCTATTGGGGATCGCCCATTTTAGGAAAGCCCCATATGGTTCATTAGCCATCATGTAGTTAAACCACTACTATAGTAGGCAAACCACTTTTAATCACTAGATATATGTTGTTTTTATTGGGTCCATAAACCAATCTTATAATTCCTGCACCACCATTCACCATTATTAATCTTTATTTACCATTCTTAACCACTATGGGTTTCCCCCAGTCGCAGGCATTGAAGACGGCTGCGGCGTCCGCAAGGTCAACCTTCTGAAAACTTGAGATTTCACCCGAATAACTTTGGGGTAGTTTGTAGTTGGTAAGGGATACTATAAGGATATTGTAACTAACTATTGATTTAAAGGATGTTATATGGGGTATATATGGGGTATATTGGATATTGTCAAACGGCTGCTGGAGCGGATTACCTGAGGGTATGGTTTGTTCAGCTGCCACATCCATGGAATATCATGGAGTATCATGGAATATCTATAAGATAGACCTGAATATTTCTTGAAGAGTTAAGCAACTGATGATATCGACATGGCAGCTGAATATGCTTGAGCAAATCATAGCAAAACCAATGAAGTCAATTGTAGGATGTTGCCACGTTGCCACCTTGCCACGTACTTCAAGAGTGTTTTGATCCATATGGAGGTTTCCTAAAATGGGGGGGGACCCCCAAGTCACCATAGGTTTCAACACTAATATGGTTTAATGACTTGGATGATTTGGGGGTACCCCCATTCTAGGAGATCTCCCAAGACCTATTGTATAACTTTTGTTTTTTGAATCACCATCCATTTCCGCACCATTTTGGTGTGAACAGAAGGGTACCACGGTTTTGACCCATAACCATATTTCATCTAAATAGTAGGCTATGAAGTACTAGTGGTTTTGTCCTTTGTTTTCATCAGATTTGCTTTTCGCTTTCCTATTCAGAAGATGCTTCCAGCACCTTCCCTAGCCGCCGGCTTGACGCATGTTTACACGTGGGGCCAAGTGGATTGACTATGCCATGTCAAGCTGTTGAGACATTGAATTCCCTGAGCACAGGAGAACTCAACCGTTAGACTTTCTTGCCAGATTAATGATATCTACGAATATCTACGGACAATATGCACACACACACACAGCCTCATGACTTTTCAAAGCCATGTGTTACTATTTTTTTCTGTTTGCATATAGATGAGCTGTCCCAGGGCTTACTTTTTTGTGATGATGGGCATCACATCAAGTCGAGTCGCAAGGCTTGGATTTGCAGCAATGCCGCTTGAGGACGAGGCAGACACACCGACACACCGCTCCCTGAGATTCTTGATGATGTTTGAGGTGTCAGGTACCATTTATGTACGGGAGCTACTGTGGATATTTGATGATATTTGGAATTTGGCATGTCACTGTCAGAGTTTTTTTTTGTCAGAGAATCATGGCAGAATCTTCCTGGCTTTGATCAATCTCTGATTTTCCTCCCAGCGACCTGAACCCCAGTGGATCTCTGCAAGAAACGACGATGCCGTAGATATGACTTCACCGATGATTGGTCGGTCCTTGGATGAACATTTCACCAAAAGTGTTTCGCTTTGATGCAGAAAATCAATCGCATTCCAGTGGATATCTTGGACTAACAAAAACAACTCCAGGTGTCTTTTTTCCGAAGCAGATCCCTTTTTGGTCACCTGAGATCGCCCAACGCCAGGTGCCTCTCAAGAAAGACAGAGAGGAAGCGGAGGCCCAAATTGGAACTGCCCGTTTTTGGGGATGGATCATGATGGATCACCATCCAAGGCCTGGTGTTGGGTCACCATGGGTCACCGATTTTCCCTGAGATTTCCGAAGTCATAGCAACATATAGCAACCCCCAAAACTCATGAAAAACATCATCCAAAAACATCATTGGACTGGAAATAGGTCTAGGAGTCTAGGTATAGCCATGGTCACTGGGGATCTCCCATCGTCAAAAAACCAGCAAATCCTCGGATGATAATCCCAAATTTGCTAAAGAGCTCTAAACGGACAGAATCGAAACGGGCGCAACTTGCAATCATCTCAATGTTAGTTCAACTCAGATGTTTGATGATGTTTGCATGTTTTCGCAAACACGTTCTTTTTTTTTAAACAGCAAATACCACGGTAATGAAACAAACCCTCTGGTAAACAAACATAGCTATTGAACATGGCCATTTATAGTGGATTTTCCCATTAAAAATGGTGATTTTCCATAGTTATGTTGGTTTGCCAGAGGGTACATGGCGTTCAGATACGACCAGTATCTTCTTTCGCCAGCGAACTAAACCTCCATGGCGGACTTCTCCTTGAGGCCCGCAAACGATACCTTGGTAAACTCGCGGAGGCACGTCATGGACGTCATGGTGCATGGGGCATCATCATTGAATCCACATTCACCATGTGGAAATGGAAAAAGATTAAAATTTGGTATGGTCTATTCTTGTATATTATACTTTTTGACTTTGTACTGTCCATCTTTCAAAAAAATGGTGATATTTTAAAGATCAAGCAGGTATAGGTGGCCAGCAATCCTGGTCCAGTCGTCAGCTCAGGTGGGAATTGACCCGGAGGGGATGACGGCGGGTGATATTTTGCGGTGACTGGGCGGAGCCGAGCGATTTTTTTTTTTTCGGTGGGTCCCTGGATGCACAGAAACATGGGTAGGGGTGATGGGTAGAGGTTGAGGTTGGTTGAGGTTTATCATGTTTTATCCAAAAATAGGGTATCCCCACACCCTGCGGTTTCCGCATTTTCTCGGTTAAAAGCTTTGCTAGAAATAGCTGATTTTGTTCGGCCATTCCGGGACAAACCCGGAGGGATATGGGAAGTCCAGTTGCGAATGGGAGACTTGAGCCATCACTCATGGCAGGGTCTATGTCAATTTGGGGAAAGGTAAGGATGATGTGATGGAACATGAGTCACAGCACGACTTGAAGCATGTTGAAACTTTGACCACTGTCACAGAACGAAAGCATCAGTGATTTTTTGCGATTTCTTAAAATGATGGATCATCATGAACAAATATGAACATATTGAACAATATGAACCATGGGTTTCAATATGTCTCAATACTAGAATTTTCACTCGAATGGTCAAAGTTTGGAAACCTCGAATCGTCGAATATTTTTGTGCATGTCCAATCACCCAAAGCCATTGACCTTCCATTTAATCATAGATCAATATATGATATAATATGTAGATGTATGGAAATATCAACATGTGTACATTGTACATACAGAAACATATATATATATATATATGATTATATACATATATATATATATATATGATTATATATATATATATATGGATTATATATATATAAATGGTTTACATCATGGTAATTTTACCCCCAACACATCCCCAAAGTCGGGTTCCAAACTTTGGCCCTGGCAATGTCAATTTCCAAGCCATCTGCTTCCCCTCTGGTTGTTGTTCACATAACTTGAAAAAAAACATTGAAATAGTAGGTAAATCATGGTAAATCCTGGTAAGTCAAGGCAAATCAAGGCAAATCATGATAAATCAGGGCAAAACATGGTAATTCATGGTAAATCATGGTACATCATGGTAAAACATTGTAAATCATTGTGCATCATGGTAAATTAGGGCAATTAGGGCAAGCCATGGTAAAATCATTGTAAATCAAAGCAAATCAAGGCAAATCATGGTAAATCAAGGCACATCAAGGCAAATCATGGTAAATCATGGTAAATCAGGGCAAATCATGGTAATTCATGGTAAATCATGGTACATCATGGTAAAACATTGTAAATCATTGTACATCATGGTAAATCAGGGCAAATCATGGTAATTCATGGTAAATCATGATAGATCAGGGCAACACATGGTAATTCATGGTAAATCATGGTACATCATGGTAAAACATTGTAAATCATTGTAAATCATGATAAATCAGGGCAAAACATGGTAATTCATGGTAAATCATGGTGCATCATGGTAAAACATTGTAAATCATTGTACATCATGGTAAATCAGGGCAAATCATGGTAATTCATGGTAAATCAGGGCAAATCAGGGCAAATCATGGTAAATCATGGCAAACCATTGTAAATCATTGTAAATCATGGTACATCATGGTAAGTTAGGGCAAACCATGGTAAATCATGGTACATAACGGCACATCAATGCAAATCATGGTAAATCATGGTAATTCATTGTAAAGCATGGTAAATCAGGGCAAATAAATCATGGTAAATCATTGTAAATCATTGTACATGATGGTAAATTAGGGCAAACCATGGTAAAATCATTGTAAATCAAGACAAATAATGGTAAATCAAGGCAAATCAGGGCAAATCATTGTAAATCATGATAAATCTGAGCAAATCATGGTAAATCATGGTAAACTATAGTAAATCATGGTAAATCATGGTAAACCATTGTAGACCATGGTAAATCATGGTAAATCAAGGCAAATCATGGTAAATCATGGTAAATCAGGGCAAATCATGGTAAATCATGGTAAATCATGGCAAATCATGGCGAATCATTGTAAATCATGGTAAATAAAGGCAAATCAAGGCAAATCATTGTAAATCATTGTAATTCATGGTAAATCACAGTAAATCAAGGCAACTCATGGCAAATCATGGTAAATCATAGTAATTCATGGTAAATCAGGGCAAATCATGGTAAATCACAGTAAAATCAAGGCAAATCATGGTAAATCAAGGCAAATCATGGTAAATCAGGACAAATCATGGCAAATCATGGTAAATCACAGTAAATCAAGGCAAATCATGGTAAATCATGGTAATTCATGGTAAATCATGGTAAATCATGGTAAATCACAGTATATCAAGGCAAATCATGGTAAATCATGGTAAATCATGATAAATCAGGGCAAATCAGGGCAAATCATGGTAAATCACAGTAAATCAAGGCAAATCATTGTAATTCATGGTAAATCATGGTACATCACAGTAAATCATGGCAAATCATGGTAAATCATGGTAAATCATGATAAATCAGGGCAAATCAGGGCAAATCATGGTAAATCACAGTAAATCAAGGCAAATCATTGTAATTCATGGTAAATCATAGTAATTCATGGTAAATCAGGGCAAATCATGGTAAATCACAGTAAATCAAGGCAAATCATGGTAAATCAAGGCAAATCATGGCAAATCATGGTCATGGTAAATCACAGTAAATCAAGGCAAATCATGGTAAATCATTGTAAATCATGGTAATTCATGGTAAATCATGGTAAATCACAGTATATCAAGGCAAATCATGGTAAATCATGGTAAATCATGAAATCAGGCAAATCAGGGCAAATCATGGTAAATCACAGTAAATCAAGGCAAATCATTGTAATTCATGGTAAATCATGGTACAGTAAAGGCAAATCATGGTAAATCAAAATCAGGGCAAATCATGGTAAATCATCATGGTAAATCATGGTAAATCACAGTATATCAAGGCAAATCATAGTAAATCATGGTAAATCACAGTAAATCAAGGCAAATCATTGTAAATCATGGCAAATCATGGCAAATCATGGTAAATCAGTGCAAATCAGGGCAAATCATGGTACATCACAGTGCATCAAGGCAAATCATTGTAATTCATGGTAAATCATGGTAAATCACAGTAAATCAAGGCAAATCATGGCAAATCATGGCAAATCATGGTACATCACAGTAAATCAAGGCAAATCATGGCAGATCATGGTAAATCAAGGCAAATCACCATTTTCATCATCGAACTAAATGGGGGATGGCTTCCAGTTCGACTGTTAAATATCCTGGTTGGCCATCCTATGATGTCCAAGGGTCGCAATCGAAAAATGACAAAAATATCATCCCATATGGGGATGAGTCAAAACCTATAATACCATGTTTTGGGGATGAACATCCACTTACCAGCTATTTTGATGTTCACCAGGGTGCCATGGTTTTGATCCATGGCCATATGTTTCATGGCCAAAAAATACGATACAAAACACATCAAAACACCATTTCCCTATGACAATTTTTCCACCAAAATTGCCACGGCGACCTCAGGTTGCTTTATGCGTGGAGCCTTAGAACGGGGGTTGAAACCCAAGGTGAGTAAAACGCAATGTTTGGTCGCTCTGTTTAAGGGGCACATTTACGGGTCATTTAGCGTTGCTTCATAGTGTTTGTTTGGGGATATTTCGGTTTTATCTAGTTTTTATTTTGTTGGGGGGGTTATTTTGTGTTTTAGCAGGTCTGATTGATTCAGTCCTGATTAAGAATCTCCTTGGGGTTTCACGGTTTGTTGAGGTTTCTAGATTAAGGATCGAAACACTGCAAATTACGGAGAAACTGTCCAACATATAGTCTAAAAATGTCTAAAAGGTGGTTTTGGCACCTGCTTAGGCAGGTGCAAAATGCAACGAGAAGCAGGCAATGTCTTGCACCGCAATTGCACAGCTGCAGTCCCGCATGGTCACTACTCCGAACCGTTAAAGTCGACCAATTTAACAGAATTGTGTCAAATCTCATTGGGACGCCGTTGGATCAGGAAGTCAAACAAGTTGACCAAAAGCAAGGTCAACCCCAATGGGACGCCGATGTACGACAAACTCTGTTTTGGCAAGTTTTGCTGTGTGAAAGATGAGGAAACACCTTGTGGACGCAACTCCCAAAACATCTTCAAAGTGGTATTAAATACAACAAAAAACACTCATGTCATATTGGGACGCCAGTGATTCACCACATGTAGATTGCAAGTGATCACAAGAAAAGCTGCTTTTACCTGTTGCATTCTGTAGGGACACGGTTACCCTCTGGTAAACTAACGTAACTATGGAAAATCACAATTTTTAATGGGTAAATCCACTATAAATGGCCCTTTTCAATAGCTATGTTAGTTTACCAGAGGGTAGCTGTTTCGAACGACGTCCGAACGACGTCCGAACGACGTATCGAACGACGTCAAAGGGTATCAAAACCCAGACCTTTGGATTCATTTGCTTTCATGTTCCTTTCATTCTCCTTTCATTTCCTCTCATTTCCTTTCATTGTCCTTTCATGCGATCATGAAAACATGGTATAGACACAACCTAAATACGAAGTCACACAAAGTCGCTGGCAATGCAAAACCCACGAAAAAGTCAAAAACTGAAAAAAACTAACTTGCTAGACACAAGCTGGACGCAACATTGGTCAACTTTAGAAGTTGCGTGCGCGCAGCTGGGACGCTCATTTCATTGAAATCGTTCAACTTTAACAACTCAGAGTATGTGATTTTGTCAAAGTTTGTGAATGTTTCTACCATCAACATGTATTCATCCTCCAAGATATTCGGTACCATTGGTGACCCGTAATGCCATGGCACCAACTATGATCATCCTGGCTTATTCGAAGATGATTGCATAATTGAACTGGACATCCCCATGTTCTGCTTGTTTCAGAGGGAAAAACATACACACATATACAACCATTCAGGTTTCCAACATGTTCGATCTGAGTTGATCAGAGGGTAATGTGTTGCTTCGCAGCCGTCACAGCCCCTTGAATGATGTGTCGTCCATTTTCATCCCCAGGCGCGAGATAGCAGCACCACTTACAAGCGCATGAACAAGGAGGCGAGTCGCCGGGAAGCCACAACGGGAAGCCACGACGAGTTTCCCAATGCAATTGTCGTTGCCGTCGTTGCCGTCGTTGCCGTTGACGCCAACGGCCCTGGCGCCAGGCCCAAAAGAAGCTTCTGGTGCGGGTTCGCACGCCTCTGTGTATGCGAACAGCCTGGAACCTTGGCACGTCGATTTTGAAAAAGCCATGATCCATGGTATACCCATGGTAATTTAACAGTTTGCTATTGAAAATGGCTATTTATAGTGGATTTTCCCATTAAAAATTGTGTTTTTCCATAGCTATGTTAGTTTACCAGAGGGTATCCATGGTATATGATGTGTACCCGAGGAAGCTGCATCATTTTATGTTCTTTTATGCTGACTTAGCCTGCTAGACTCACTCTGGTTTGCTACCTGGGCATCATCATTGCTAATTACTCAATGATTCTCACATACTCATCGTATCTCTAGCAGAAAAGAAACGCACGGAAGTTTTGACTCTGGGAACGGCCAACCAGTTTTTGACACATTGATTGATTGCTTGATTGGAGGGTAACCAGAGCAGCCAGAGCTTACCTTGATCAAGGGTCAGGTATTTCCTGTTGGGGCTCATTTGGCATTCAGATGTTTAGTATGTGGGGCTTTGTAAGAGTATGCGACTTGCAGAAATCTAAGATCCTCAAATCATCTCAAATCCATAGATCTAAAATCCATAGATCCTCAAATCCATAGCCATAGATCTTCACTCCGCTTTACAATGAGGTGCTGAAAGAACGAGCAGTGCAAGAGGTGAAGGCGGCCAGAGACAAACCGGTCTGGGCCCCCAAGTTCATCATGGCCGCGGCTTGCTGGAAAATCCCCCATTCAGGTTAGTGAACTATTATAATTTACCTAGATTTAATATGCTGGTTGGTGGTTTGGAACATTTTTTATTTTCCATAATATATGGGATTCATCATCCCGACTGATATAATGATATAATGTGGTTTGTCTAAAAAACATAACTCCAACAACTGGTAGATATGGTAGATATATCTATAGTTATCTATAGTTACTATATGGATTAATGTGGTTGAAACAATGCCATAAACCACCCATGACTGGGAATGGTATACACACCACTTATATAAATAGTGATGACTGGGGGATGATTTATGGCATTGTTTTGCCCACATTAGATGATTTTCCAATTCAAACCTTCATTGACAGGAGATTTTCCTAGATTTTCCACTGTCACGCTTGAGGATATCGGAAGGTCATGATAAGAAACCATGGTTTTCTACGCTGTTTTCGCATCGTTCAAGGCTTTAAACAGGTCCAGTTGAAGAGGTCCACTGAAGCCTGTTTAGGTGGTACGACATGTTACCACTGAAGGATGCCAGCAACTGGTTCCCTCACGTTTTATCATTTTTGCACATGTTTGTACACTTGTCTAATGCTTCACGTCTGTGCCATGGTCATTTTTGTTGAATGGGTTATACCGACAGGTTACAGGGATGGTCATCAATTCATTATCTATTTACTATATTACCATTTGCCAAAAATAGTTGACATAAGTTGTGTACCAGTTGTTGATAATTAGTGTGGACCTTGTGGTTGTTCCTCTTCGCTATAAGGCGGCAAGCAACTAAAATCACCAATTCTGCAAGGCAGCGCTAGCAAACCCGCTAGGTTTGCGCTAGTTGTTTTATCGCACCCATGTTCAAGGATCTTTTTTGTCTTCCTCTTGGCTTGTTATTTCAACATGAAGAAAGTCAAGATGTAACACTTAGCTCCTTAAACCTAAGGATATCTAAGGATGTCTTAGTGAACAACAATTTTCCTATGTTTTCGAGGTTGCGGTTCAATTTTGCGAATTTGTACGTAATTTTAGACCCACTAGATCCCCGCTAGCACTGCGCTAGCAAAAGTTTCAAAAAACGGCTTTGGTTTACCCGTGACCCAGTTGCCACCAGAGAACTTGTAGTTTATCCTGTCTGTTTGACAAAAGCAACAGTGACAGCAAAGGCAACGACAAGCCCTGCAGATATTCCAGTTCCACCACTAATTACTAGCAGCAGCACCCACTTCATATAGACGCGCTTTTGCATTCACCGCAGGTTTTAGCTACGGCTTCAAACATAACATAAACGCAGGGATTCAGATTATTTGGGTAAGTCATGGTTTTAAAATGTTTTAAAGACCAAACAAGAAGCGGCACGCAAGGAATTACGATTTATCAACCAAACCAGGAAAATACATTTTGGCAAACCGTCGTATTCTTAGTTATTGTTATGATTAAATATTATCATTAATAATAATTATTATTATTAAAAGACATGAAGAAGCTAGATGAATTTTCCTACCCAACTTCGGCTAAGTCTTAATCCAGATCCATATCCGTCTCCCCAGTTGCGAGACAATAAAAATCGCCTGGCGATGGCCTGATACACGTCATCTTCCATCAGTTGGCTGGAAGATCCCCGAGTGAATTTACTATGACAAATATTGGCTGGAAAATATATGAACATATTGGAAAAGCATGGAATCATGGGAACATATTGGGAAATATACTATCCATGGATGTTTAGTTTGTTGGGAAAATCAACGGACTAAAATGGGCAATTGTCCAGCAAGCCATGTGACTGATGACATCGGAGGGTAGGACGATTCGGTAAATCTCAGGGTCTGAGTTCTAAAGTGGGGGGTACCTCCAAATCATCCATTTCAATCGGATTTTCCATTCTAAACTTCTAAACCATCCATTTTTATCCATTTTTAGGGTATCCCCATGACTATGGAAACCCCCCAAATGATGCCACGAGTCGCCCTGTTTTGCTTCATGGAATCCCAGGCTGAACTGGTTCACGAGTGCTTGGATCGATGGGAAATCGAAAACTTGGCTGAGGCAGCTGGTACGATGGTGCGATGGTATGATGGTTTTATTGGGGATAAGAATGGTATGGTACCGTGGAAAAATGAAGAATGGTATAAATAGCCCAATAATTCTGTGTAATTAATAGTGGTAAAATAAACGGGCTAACGCCCTGGTGCCGCCGACCCCCCTTGAAAGGGGGGCATGGAGTACTGAATATGTTTGCCAATGTCGTTGCCCTACTTGGCCGCTCGGGCTTGTTTTGGCAGCGTACTTCGGCCTTGGTTGCAGCCTTGCCGCCATGGCAACGGTGCCTAAAGCTGCAGCGAAGGGTTTAAGGGGTTGAAAGAGCTGCTGAAACGTGCCACATAGCAGTTTCGAAATCCTATAGACACAGTGAGGGCCTTCAGCCTTGGTTGCAGCTTTGCAGCGCAGCAGCTGAAGCTTGCAGGGGACCAAACATACCTACTTGGCCGCTCGGGCTCGTTTTGGCAGCATACTTCGGCCTTGGTTGCCAGAAGCCATGGTGTCCAGGGGCTTCTTTTGGCAGCGTCCTTCTGCGTTGCAGCCTTGCAGCCATGGCAACGGTGCCTAAAGCTGCAGCGGATGGTTTGAGGGTTTAACAGTTTCGAAACCCTATAGAAACAGAGAGGGGCTTGTGTTGGCAGCGTCCGTCGGCCTTGGTTGCAGCCTTGCAGCCTTGGCAAAGGTCCCTAGAAGCTGCAGCAGAGGGTTTGAGACATCAAAAGTTTCTTGAAGCGTGCCACATAGCAGGGTCGAAACTGTATAGAAACAGTGAGGGGCCTTGGTTGCAGCCTTGCAGCCTTGGCATGGGTGCCTAAAGCTGCAGCGGAGGGTTTGAAGTTTGCAGGAGGTCTGGTACGGAAAATGTTTGGAGATGTGGCACACCTGCGGTGATCCCGGGCGCCGCCCCGCCTAGGCCAAGGCTAGGCAGGGGTCGGCGGATTTCTGGATGTATTATAGTGACCTCACTGTTTTTCGTCATTGGAAGGATGCTTGGTATCGGGAATCATCCCCATAGCTGGCCGTGCGATATCAGCTATTTTCAGGTCATTTTCAGGTCAGTGAACTATGAAATAATTCAGCCCGATTGTTGGAGGCTCCTTTTTGGGTCCGGAGTGCAAATACATCCTACTTCAGGCAGCTGATTTTTGATCGTTTTTTGGCAAACATAGGATTCGATGTGTTGTAGGTCCCAAACATTTGAGATCTCCCAGAGCTACCTTAATTATCATAAATACATAAATATATATATATATATATATGTATTTAGATATGGATATCAGATACTGGAACATCCAAGAATTCCAGTTGCAATCCTCCCAGTTCAGCCCTTTTGTTCCTTGTTGCAGGTGTGTCGAAGTCTGAAGTTTTTTGATGAGGTGTGAAGCGATTGCACGACGGCCACCCTGTGGGTTTGGGGGGTCGGTATTGTACAGACATGTCGCAGTTGGAGGGCCAAACATGTTTATGTGGTTTTGTCTTAAAATCGGGTACCACTAGGTTTGGATGGTTTTTATGATCATATTCCCCATGAACATTGCTATTTCGTGGTGTACCTTCTGGTAATTTAACATAGCTATTGAAAATGGCCCATTTAGAGATAATTTACCTACAATAAATGGTGATTTTCCATAGTTGCATGTTAAAGTACCAAAGGGTATCCCATTTTGGACAAAACTATATTTAAATATTCGTTGTCGAATGAGAGAGTCAAGACTTGGGAGTGTAAGAACACCCGGTATCAAACATGGCAATAGAAAATCCACCAGTGATAGTTGTTTTCCCATTTAAATACCCAGATGCATCCAGATGCCCATTTGATATGTTTTATACATTGCATTACATTGCCGTGTTTGGTTGGACGGGAGTGTATTTCCTTGTAGAATGTCCTTCCCATCCCCAACCCCTTTGAACTGTGGCTCATGATCAAGCGATCACGTCATGCGACATCGCTGGTGAAACATTCATTTAAAAATCATCACTAGTTATTTTTTCTTAAAACCAAAAAACTAGACAATATCACAATCTTTGAACCACCATTCACCAGAATAGTTCTAAATATACTATATTAAATGAACTATTTTGATACGATAATCGGTAAATTATAGTGACCTCCCTGTGACCTCACTCGTATAGTTAGGACCTAGATTAGGACCCGGAGAATGATCACAAAAGTGGTTCTAAAGTTCTAAATCAACTATTGTTTCATACTTTAAGAACAGTTTTTTGGATATTTTTATGGATAATCTTGAGTACTAAAGAATCCAATTTTTTTAGTTGATATTAGTGGATTAAAAAAGAATTATTGGTTGAATAACCGATTAGTGAAATATTGATTCCTATTCACTAACCAGTTAATTTCGAATAACTATTCATGTTAGTATATTGAATAACTATTATCAGTTAATATTGAGTATTAGTAAAATAACCTATTCAATTATTTATCAGTTATTAATATTCTAATTACCAGTTAATATTTAGTTATTTAATTTAATATTGAATAACTATTATAATTAGTTAATATTGGGTTAAAAGAACATATTATTCTTCTGGTTAGTGAATTCTTGTGACCCAGAATCTCATCAGGAGGCAGCTGGGCAAGTCTCCACCTACCTTCGCAGCTATGGCCGTCGGCGGGGATGCTTGGTAGTTTTTTGGGTTGATTTGATGGTTAAGGTAAATCTTAATGCATCCAACTCAGGAAAATATGAATGGCAATCTGATGAAATAGATCTACAATGATCTATATGAATATGTTCCATATTTGTATCATTATCGGTATGTTAATGGACCAGTTTGGGACAGTTATGTGAATTTTTATCGGTATTCTCGTCGCTTCGCGACGAGCACCGCACCACATTGTTTTTAGGGGATTTTAGGGGACGGCTTTTCGAAGTTGAGGAATGTGGTAGTGGTAGAGTGGGGTAGGGGCTGAACACGAACTCAATTTTGGGCCCAAGCTAAGCGACCAAACTGGGCCGTAATTGGGCTTGAGGTTGAGCTGAACATAGGCCGAACATGGCGCAACTGGGCCCATTGGCCGGCAGCTTTGCCCCAAGTTGGGCCCAACGCAGACAAGCAAAAGGTGGGAAATACATGGAAATACCAGCAAAGCATACGCTTTCAGCATGTTCCCCAGGTTGGGTCCGTGGCCCGGGCAGAAGAGGTCGTCCCAACTGCTCGAGACGTCTCCGGGCTACTAGGACTCACATGTCATTCTTTTCAGTTTTGGACCTTTGGATATGCGCTACATCAGCATGGTCTGCTTCTAAGGCGAACTCGCGAAATTTTCCTTCCATTTTCTTGTGATGCTTACAGTTGCAGTGATTGAGTCACAATTCCTGGATGTTTCTGTTTTGTTTGGATACGGTATGCCTGTACACTTTACATGGAGGTTTCCTAAATTATTGGGGTGCCCCTAAATCATCCAAATTTAGGCAATTTTAAATCATTTTAAAGTAGCGATACTGTTGAAATTTGGGGATCCCCTATTTCAAGAAACCACCATTCTCAGCATCCGAAAACAACGTCTGACCACAAAAAAATACGTCTTCCTTCCAGCCTGGAGAGGGTCGACTCTTAGGTCAAATCACCATAGATAGGTGGTATGGTTACCATTCCCAGTCATGGGTGGTTTATGGCATTGTTTTACCAACATTATTATATAATATACATTTACATACACTATTTTGATATTTATATGTATAACATGTATCCATATCATGTATATGTATGCATATTATGTCGATCCCCAGTGAAAGAAATTCCAGCCTGATGGCAGGTTGTATTATCATCCCTTGCGCAACTGTACGCAAATTGTTTGTACATTATCCCTCAAACAATACGTAGGGAAGTGACATCTTGTGACAATGTGGCAGCATCCTTCGCCACTCAGCCTGGCCAAACCAAGGCAGTACCTCGAATCCTACAACCGAAAAGCCTATGTACGGCCACCTACCGCCTGAGCGACTGCAAAAAAAACTGGCAAATGCTGAAAGATCAGTGCAACCCAGTTTTGTTTGAAGATGTTTGAAGATGTTTGAAGATGTTTGAAGATTATGTCTCATTCTTATCATTTTTGTTTCCAACAATGAGCGGTTGGGAGACGTCTGAACCCATCCTTTGATCCCTACTTTGGACTGACCAAATGCGAAGATTGCTGCATTTGCCAGTTCCTGAGACACATCGTGCCGACCGAGGGGTTCTCCGGTCTGTCCAAAATGGGGAAATTGCGCAGAAATACCCCAAATGGCAACTTGAATAGGAAGAATGATAATACACTATGGAATTTTGATGAATTGTGCGGTACAGATGGGTACAGTATTTTCAGTCACCCCCATATACATGCAATACAACTCAAATGATCAGAACCTTGGTGCAGCCATGTTAGTTTTATGTGTTCGCGCAGCCATGTTCGGGTGCTTGCGCAGCCATGTAGGGTGCTGTTCATCAAGTCATGGGAGTTTCCATAGTCGGGATACCTTCCAGTCATGGATGGTTGATGGAAAATCCCAATCTAAAATGGGTGATTCGGGGGCTATATCCATATATAACTGGGGAATACTCGGGATACAGTATTCTATAATATTCTATATAATATATAATCATTAAATATCATTAATATAATCAATATTCTCACCATGCCCTTTGACCATGATCAGATATGACCAGTCATGACTGATGACATCCACGGGGAAAAAACGGGGAAGCCGGGAAGCCTCAAGCGCCTAGCATGGCATCATGGCACCTTCCTGTCGACGCGGACAACTGGCACAATGGCTTGTCACTGCTTCGAAGTAGGGCCACATAGGGCCACTATCATTGCAAGATATTACAAGAAGATATACGAAGTCTAAAGTCGAGCGATACTCTTCACTCAACTATTACACGATATAATCAGTTGAGCCTACTTTTCGGAATCAAAACTTTGGTGAACTGTTTCGATTTCGGATCTTGAAAAGTGAACGGTTCATCTCCTAAGGCTAGACAAAAATCATCGGCGTGTTGCATCTCAGTGAATCCCAACCATGGGTTGTTTACTGTTTTCCATAGAGGGAACATATTTTTTGGGTTCCAAGGTTCTCCATACGATTCGGTAAGTGACAAAATGTGACAAAGTATCCTTGGTGATTCACTGCTGCCCAAAACGAGCAGCGCGTCTCACCGCTTCGCAATGCGCAAGGCATGGTGCGGAAAAGGCGCGCCGCGTCGCTAGCGATGGGTGACGCACGAAGTCCATGGAACCGTTCCCATGACGCAGCCGTTGTGCTTAGCTGTGCCCGGTCTTCCAGTAGCAGAGGCAGGGGTCTCTTTGGATTTGACCATTGGCATCTGGCCGACATGGGATGCAACAACATTTTTTTGACGTGGGCAAAACTTCGTTGGGTTACTCTCAAATGTGGATGAATGGCAGATGAAGACAGCTGATCTTCATAGTGTCATAGATCTTTACAGATCTTCGATGTGAACATTGTGGCACACAGTTTTGCCTAGTTTTGCCTGGTTTTGGTTCATGGCGACATCTTCAGACACAGACCAATGTTTTTGCAGTTCTCACTGAGTTAAAAATACTGTTGGGATGTTGGGTGTGTCAATTTTAAATTGATTAAACCTTATTAAGCTAGCAAAGCCCCAAGCATCCAACACCATGTGAACGTTGCTGATCCCTCGACTAAAGGTTAGCTGGTCACAGCAAGCGAGGCTTTCTTTTGGGGTAGATTCCCATCTCTGACCTCCTCCGTGTTCCCCGCTTCTCCCAAGTATGACCTACCACCTTTTGCGGTAATTTATCACAGCTATGGAAAATCATGGCCCATTTAAATTTATAGTAGATGATTGAATTGCCCATTTTTTGCATGGTGCTATTTATTCATATTTATTCCATAGATTGGCTACTGAATTCTTCATGTACCAGAGGGGATTTCTGGTCAAACACCATTTCTGTTCGACACCGGTCGCCTAGATTCGCAGCAGAAAACTCGACTCGTTGGTGGTTGAAATTCACCCCTTCAGAGGAAGCCTAGAAGCCACTTAGGGGTGGCAGATTGGGGGTTGGTTGTCCCTACATGGTCCGTAATACCAGCTATAAGTCAGTGAAATAACCCCATTATTGGAATGACAACCACATTGATACTTATAACTCTATAACCAAGAAAACACTGCTAGTGCAGTAAAGCAATGTCATAAACCACCCATATGGATTGATGGTTTATAGCACCCATAAAAATTGTGATTTTGGGGATGGTGGATCCTTTTGTTGTACGACCATAAATCATTATATAATCATCTAAAATCATTAATAATCAGCAATGATCAACCATTATGATAGCATTAATGGCTAGTATATAATATTATCACCAATGGTACCATCTGGTTATTTAACATGGCCATGGAAAATCCCTCATAAATGGAGGTTTCAATGGGAAAATCATCTATAAATGGGCCATTTTCCATGGCTATGTTAAATAACCAGAGGGTAAATTGAATCACCAACTGAGCAGCATCAAAAACCTCCATGAAGGGATTTAGTATTCGGGTTCATGTGGGGAACCCCCCGCGAAAGCAAAACCTCCACGCGCGAAAGCCGCGCGAAAGCTCCGCGAAAGGGGTGCGTCAAGGTCGAGCCGCGAAAGCAGTGGCGAAAGCAGGTAGATAGTAGAAGCACATTTGAATATTCATGTGCACCATCATTTACGGGCAATTTTCCGCGAAAGCAACCGCGAAAGATATTACGAAACACATGTCGCCGCGAAAGACAAAACTGTGCCCGCGAAAGAACAGCGAAAGCCGTCGCGAAAGCTTCTAAGGATTAGAACCAAATCGCTACCCGGTTTTCGACGCCGCTCAACTGGGGATAAGTCCAGTTCATCACAGCGCAATAGGCATGGTGAAAATACTGGCCAATGGCGAGATTGTGCCAGACAATGACCCCAGAGCGCAGGCGCCCGAACGATCCGTTGTCTCGTTTGGTTGGTATATATATATGATATGTATACGTATAATATGATATATACGGTAAGGCCATTTAAATATGTGGAGGGCGGGCCAGACCGCGAGGCCCCGGAGGTAATATGAAATACCAGTTCGTATATTTAAATGTAGGTGCCGTATGTTTGAATGAATTGGATTCCGTATGTTTAAATGGCCGGGCGGGCCAAGGAAAACCTTCCCGGAGGTAGTCTAAAATACCTGTTCGTATATTTAAAAGTCCGTATATTTAAATGTAGTTACCGTATATACACGTCATATATATATATATATATTATATGTATATCTATACAGAATTTGTGTGTATATATATAATATAATAATATATATAGAGATAATAGATGGACGATATTCACAAGCTGGAATCTGGGATGCGAAAGGCGGAACTACCACTAGGGATACGGATCGGGTATCACCTTTGATGATCTCAGCGAAACGATTGGACAGATTTGACCAAGGAACACAGCATGTAGGAGACTGCAGGATATTTAAACAATATGATTTAACCATACGTAACCAATGGAAACAAACAACACTTTCTTCACATGAATGAAGATAAGAGAAGATAAGAACTTGGTGAACCTTTGTTTCTCAACCATTTGGGTGTTTTCTAAAATGGTGGATCCCCAAAACCATTGGTTTCAACACAGTTTTAGCAGACAAATCATCCATACTATATCCATTTCCCAACAATTTCCCAAGCATTTCACTTTATCCCAACACCCAAAACCTAGGGTTTCCCAAACATTTCCCGTTCGCACCACCAGTTTCAAATCATAAATCCCATCAATTAGTGACCATAGATAAATCATCCATAGTCATTTCCCAAACATGTCTTCCATGGGATTTTCAGGATCCCAACATGGAGCTACGTTAGTACCATTTTTCAGGCCATATTTTATGGGGATATTCGCTGAAATTAAGTCTTTACATAGGCCTTATGTATGGTAGGTACCATCAATTTAGCTTCCTGAGTCATGGCACATGGAGGATATTCCCTGAAATTTAGCCCTGAAAAAAATATTTTACTTCGTGTGATCCCCACCATGACATTTATATATACATTTTCTTACTGGCAAATCTTCTGGCATTCTATCTGGCATATCTTCTGGCAATCTATCTGGCAATCTATCTGGCATATCTTCTGGCATTCTATCTGGCAAATCTTCTGGCATTCTATCTGGCATATCTTCTGGCATTCTATCTGACATATCTTCTGGCATATCTTCTGGCATTCTATCTGGCATATCTTCTGGCATATATTCTGACATATCTTCTGGCATCCTATCTGGCATTCCATCTGGCATTCTATTTGGCATTTCTATCTGGCTTATCTTCTGGCATATTTTCTGGCATTCTATCTGGCAAATCTTCTGGCACTCTATCTGGCATTCTATCGGGCATATCTTCTGGCATATTATCTGGCACTCTATCTGGCATATCTTGTGGCATATATTATGACATATCTTCTGGCATTCTATCTGGCATTCTATTTGGCATTCTATCTGGCATATCTTCTGACATTCTATTTGGCATTTTATCTGGCATATCTTCTGGCATA